TTGCTGATGGCAGGCTTATTTTATTCACAATGTTTTAGAAATGTTTGAATTAGTTGCTAGTATTTTAAAACTGGGATATTTCACAAAAGTTCAAATTCCCAATTTCTCTTAATCTGAAGGTCTAGCAACCCGGTTCTCCTTTTCGTGGCAGGAGTCAAGTGTCCCTTAGAAACGAAGCTCAATACACGAGTGTGCCCACACTTTAATGACGGCGATAGTGAAATTTTCTGGGCATTCCTGAAATAAGTCCACACCAACACGTCCGTGTCCCAACACCCAGGGGCCAAGTTGGGCAGGGATGTGGGCCATGTGTGGAAATCTAGCAGTCGCGGGTGCCCAATGCTACCACCTTTTTAAAAAGGCGCTTGATGTGTATGTGAAGTGAAAGGGTTAGACAACGAATGGTATCTCCTTTCACTTCTGGGACTTTTTATTTAACTTGGGAACAATAAAGCAGAGAGTCAAGAAGAGCAGATGTGTGCACGGAATGAATCATTACCTGTTAAGGAGAGCTAACAGGAGTGCTCCAAAGAATGTTAGGTCAGCCTGTGTTTCATGGACCACAGGAAAGCCTTTGACTATGTTGATGGTGCAAAGCTGTGGATTGCACTGGAAGTGGGCGTGCCCCAGCCCTTGACTGTCCTGATGTGTCCACCCCTGATGTGTCCACCGTCAGGATAGATTATGGAGGGACAGGTGGTTTCCTATAGGTGAAGGTGTCAGACAAGGGTGCACCTGATCTTCCTATGTGTGTAACCTGTATGCAGAACATACCACATGGAAAACTGAGCTAGACTCAGGAAGAGATAATTAGTGGAAGAAATATCAATAAATATATGCAGATGACAGCATCTTATGGGAAGAAAGTAGCAATAATTTGAAACTTGATGAAAGTGAAAAGAAAAAAAAAAGACAAAACAGGACTGCATTTGAACAGCAAGAAGATAAAATCATGACTACAGATGAAATATACAACTTTAACAGAGACAATGAGGACATGGAAATTGTGAAAGATTTTGCTTATCTTGGCCCAGTCATAAATTCCCATGGAGACTGCAACCAAGAGAAGCAAGTGGAAGAATTAGGAGATCACTGGAAACAAGGATGTGCTATTAGAGGCCAAACCTACGGTCATTCATCCATATCCTCCCGGTCTCAGTTACTGTGTACGGATGTGAAAGGTGAACGAGGGAGGCTGGCAAGAAAACAGATTCATATGAAACACAGTGTTAAATGTCTACGGACACCTTAAACCGCCCGAGAGACAAATAAGTAGGTCCTACAGCAAACAAAGCGTGAAATGTCACTGGAAGTAAAAATGACAAAACTGAAGCTGTCTTGCTTTGGGCACATCATGGGAAGGCAAGTTCTTTGGAAAAGACGATAATGCTGAGAAAATGGAATGCGGCAGGAAAAGGAGATCAAATACCAGATGGATTGGCTTCACAAAGGAAGCCACAGGCAGGAGTCACAGAGCTGAGCAGGGCTGCTGAGGACAGGACATGGTGGGCATCACCCACTCATAGGGTCCCTGGGAGTCGGAGCCGACTCATGGGCACGTAGCACACACCACCCGAGTTCCCGCTGTCATCGTCAGCATCACTCCATGGGCCGCCATAAGCTAGATGCTCTCCAATCTGGACTGAAGTGAGGGAAATGCAACCATCAGGATTCTGCTTCACCCATATAGAGATTAGAGGCAGTGTTTTAACATCTGAGATTTATCTTGGGACCACATTTTAGAGTTTAAAATGACTGACCACACAAAAAAATTGACCTATGTGCACTCTTGTTAACTAAATCTATGCACACCTTTTAGCAACTATGCTTAATTTTCTTGCCAAGTCTTTACAGAACTGCATGGCAGTCGCTTTCCTTTCTTCCTTTGCCAATAAGCGTGAAAGATTGCATTATCATTGTGAGTAAATATTTCTGCATTTCCTTAAGCCTTTGGAAATCTAATCCTTATAAAAGGAAATGCAAAAATGAAGTGTGAGAAGCAGCAAAAGCAACTATTCTTTTGAGAATGACTTGAAAACCACTGAGGACAGTGACTTCATTTATAACCACATTTTCCCAGGCAAAGCATGACCTGAAAAAATAGGTAAAAAAAAAAAAAAGGCCCAATTTGTTACCCATCCTCTATGAGCACCATATAGCAACAGTGTTTTCTAAAGGACTCCCTTTTTTTTTTTTTTTAATTTTTTTATAGGAGGACATCAGATCCATGCAGGATGCCCATGCTTGACAGCATTAAGTTCCAAAAAGGTTTTTTAAAAAAGTGTTTCTATGTTATGTGAGATTGTGATGGAATAAGGATTCTCATACAATGTTAGTGCAAATGTCAATCGGTAATTTTTTTTTTTGAGGAATATTATTGATACCCACCCACATTTTACATGCCTTTGTTCTATAGACTTTGTCCCAATGAGTGTGCTGCTCAGAATTGCGGTGCCACCTGCCAGTGCAGGATAAGGTGTCAATGAGGAAATTCAGGTCCAGCACCAAGGTTAAGTGAATGGCAGTATACCTAAAAGTGGAATACTATGCAGTCATTGAAAGCATGAGGTAGGCCTATACGCACCCATTTGAAATGTCCACATGTACAGTGAAAAAAGCAAATCTCAGTGTGGATAGTTTTATACTGTTTTTAAAAGAGGTGGTTAGCCCTGGCCAGTTTGGCTCAGTGGATAGAGCATCGGCCTGCGGACTAAAGGGTCCCCAGGTTTGGTTCTGGTCAAGGGAATGTACCTTGGTTGTGGGCATGTCCCGTGAGGGGTATACAAGAGGCAACTGATCGATGTTTCTCTCTCATGTTTCTAATTCTCTATCCTTCTCCCTTCCTCTGTTAAAAATCAATAAAATATATCTTTTTTTTTTTTAAAAAGAGATGTGTTTATGTAACTAGGCTTTCCCATCTGAAGGCTCCACTAGGAATGAATAGCAGTGGTTACCTTTGGGGAGGGGGCTTGAGGGACTGGGGGTGAAGAGTAGAAAGGAGACACTCATTCTTGTTTGAATTTTTTTGCCATGTGCATGCATTTCCTTTTCATTGTTGACTTTTGAAATGAACCAGACCAGAGAGCTGATGATAGAGTTACTGAGTAAAGAGCTCTCAGCAGTGGTGTTTCTGAGGGGTTCTGTGTAGACCAGATACAAAGCCTTGCTGTGTCCAGGGATGTGTGCGAGGGATGCCGCCGACCACTGGTTACCAACTGGCTTCGTGTGGCTCCTTCCCAAGGCCTCGCGGCTTTTCTCATTCCGGTAAACACGGACAGCCGTGCCTCTGTGCCACGAGCCCTCTTTCCAGCCTACTAGCAGGGGCGGTGGACGTGCAGGCCTCAAATTGTGGTCTGTTAACGGCAGAGGAACTGGAAAAGAAATCATGCCGAAACACAGGAGCAAAATGGAAGCTGTCTGGGTATGTTTGCAAAAATTTGTGAAAATTTCAGAAAAGTAGGTTGTTTATTATTTATTGTTGATTTAATACCTTCCCAAAAGGTCCAAAATACCACTGGGACCTTAGCTAGGACTGCAGCGTATGTGCAAGAATGGCACATACCGAAATATCAGCTCATTAGTTCAAGTCTAAGATAATTTTCCCTTGAAATAGAACCTCCTATTAAGTTGAAATAGTCAGTGGTACAGCATCCTCTAATTTAAAGATTTTAAAAGAAAAACATAATCAGAAGGCCCGGTTTTCAAAATTGCTGCTAAAAGCCAACCAATTAGCTGGAAGGGAGGGATGAAAAGGAATAACCTCTCTTCAAATAATAAATCTACAAAGTCCTCTGCCACAAAAAAGCAGGTCCTTGTAGTTTTGGTCTCTTCCCATGAGATAATCACCACCTTGCTAAAAATGGGACCTCCCTCCCCGCAACCCCCCCACATACACCATCCCCAAGCGGGGGGAAAAAAACATCCACCCAAACAGTTTCTACTTGTTTTTACCATATATTCCAGGGGTCTATATGGGGTTTTTGTTTGTTTTTACATTTGTACAGTTTACATTGCTTGACCCATAAATAACACTTGGAAGATTAATAGGGCCATAGTTTTAAAGACTATTTACATAGCCCCACCATGCATACAGAGCCTTTTTAATATTGGGGGCGGGGGGGGGGAGAGGGGGAGAAGAGGGAAAATAAAAAAAATGGAGCTCTCCATCACTAGGCAATATAAATTTGACCATCTAAACTTATAAACCCTGACTAAAATACAAGCAATCGTTTCATCCATAAATGCTGTTTCTGGTTCCCTAAGAAATCTAGCACTGCAGTGTAACAAACGTCTTGCAATTCAGGGATATAAAAATATCAGCTTTAAAATCTGAACTGTACATTATGTACATTAATATTTGCACCGTTAAATTAGGAATACACTTAAGTCTATGAAATACTACATTATAAATAGCAAAGGTATTTTTTTTTTTGTTTCATTTTGTTTTTCAATCTGTAGCTGGAGCTAATACAATGATACAAAGTTTACCTGGCTAAAGAGGATGGCAAGGGGACGAGGCGGCCCCGTGCGAGGGGGCGCACAGTGTTGGCTGGGTCAGTGTGACTCCCTGCGGGCCGCACAGTAGGACAGACCGATCAGGCCCTGGGCCAACCTGGCGTGGACAACGACAAACACTATTGCTTCACGAAGGCGGCTGGCGTTCTCCATCATCTAAAATCAGTACCCCCCCGTCCAGTCACCTCACCCTCACGAACAGTTTTCTAGAAGATTTTCTCGCAGACTGCAGACCAAAGCAGCAATGCAACAGACACCCTAATGCACCTGACTGGCACCATCCGAGGGAGGGTCACTGGGAGCCATCACACCTTCTGAGTGTTAACCGGACACTGTAAACAGCAGTCGGGGTGAGGGCGGGGAGGCGCATGTACATGGGCAAAGCACTTTCAACTATGTTAGCAACTTTTCCTACGAAAGAAAGAGGATCTGAGTCAAGAGGGTTCATGGCTAAGCTGAGACAGGGCCTCCACGGCTACACCGGGTTAAGAAATAATACAGTTTTTGCCCTTGTGTCCCTTTTTCTTCTTGGACTTGGTCATGCCGGGGCCAAACTGCGGCGCGGGGAGGACGGACGTGGGGCTGGACAGGCCGTCCGTGTAGTAGGCGTACCGCTGTGGCCGGGGCTGTGGGATGGGCTGTCCGAGGAAGTAGCCTTCTTCCTCCGAGTCGGAGGAGGAGGAGGAGGAAGAGGAGCACCAGGAGTCGTCGTCCTCCCCGTAGAGCCCCAGGAAGCGGGGCACCTGCGGGCTCTGCAGCGCGTAGTCGGAGGTGGCGTGGGCGTAGCGGCCGCAGAGGTCGGCGCCCTGCAGGAACGCCTGGATCTCCCGGGCGCTCTTGTTCTGCAGGAACTTCTCGTAGCTGTCCGGGGTGTACAGCCGCAGCCGGTCCTTGGGAGGGTGCTTCCTCTCGGCCACGAGGTTCAGGGCGTTGTCGGAGCGGGACTTCCTGCTCCTCCGGCGGCGGTGGTGATGGTGGGGCCGGGAGCCCCGCGGCTGCTCCTCGAAGTGGTACACCCGCCTGCGCGTCCTCTCGCTCATCGGGGGCTGCCGGACCTCCAGGTTGTCGTAGCTCCCGTTGTCGATGACGTCGTCCGAGAACTTGACCTGCTGCGGCCTTGACTGGGACTTGGACCGCCGGAGCACGGGCAGGTGGACGGGCTTCTCCTCGGGCATGATCTTCTCTGGGCACAGCTCCGAGCTGAGACTCTTCAAGGACTCGGCGCTCCGGTGCAGCATGGAGGAGTTCAGGGTCCCCATGTTGCTCATCTTCTCGCAGTCTTCGGCCTCCATCTCCTCAAAGTTCTGCAGGGAATATAAGGACGGCCTCGGCTTGCTCTCTCCGTCCACCGAAGCCCCTATGAGGAAAAGCCAAGGCAAGATGTGAGTCTCGGTGACCCTGACCATCGGGCAGTTATGACAAACAGCTGAAAGGAAGCATTTCAAAGAGAATTCTCCATTTCAATAGTTGATTACCACCCACGAAGTCAACACAACATGCATATGAAGAGAGGAGGTATGGATTTTGTTACTGACCCAAGGGGCACAGCCTTTCTTAGAAGTTCAATTGTTTTGGAACCTAGAGGACATGGCATGAACAGTAACAATGTAAAAGCTCTTCATAAAAAAATCTCATGATTAGCCCTAGCTCGTTTGGCTCAGTGGATAGAGTGTCAGCCTGCGGACTGAAGGGTCCCAGGTTCGATCCCGGTCAAGGGCACATGCCAGGGCTGTAGGATTGGTCCCCACTGTGGGGCATGCAGTCACTGATCAATGATTCTTCTCATCATTGATGTTTCTACCTTTCTCTCCCTCTCCCTTCCTCTCTGAAATCAATACAAATTTATGTTTAAAAAAATCTCACGATTACTTTGTTCACATGACATGGTAGAATTCTGCCTCTCAATCCATCAGAGCCAGATTGCTTCACCCGAGGATCCCCATCGGTCCCTCCCTGGCATCCACATGGCCACCGTCATCGTCCTCTTACACCTACACCCATTTTCCTCATTGCATACCGGGACTGTGGTCAGCAAGCCACAGCCCAAGGGCCACACCCAGTCCACAGCCTATGTGTGGATAGAGTTTCACTGGAACGCAGCCACACCTACTCATTTACGTATTATCTACGGTTGCTTTCCACAGTGGCAGTGCTGAGCATGTGCAACAGGGCCTGGGTGGCCCAGAAGTTCTGTCTCGCCCTTCACAGAAGAAGTCTGCCAGCCCCTAACCTAGACAGCCATCTAGTCGTCTTCCCCTTCAACCCAGGAAATAACATGCCACCTCCAGATTAGTCTTATTGGAACTTTCCCCAAAACCGATACTTGTTCTCCCTTTTTTAAGAGGGCCCAGGCAAGGGAAGGTAAATGAATACCCAGCAGGCAGACGTGACAATAAGGACTGGTGTCTTGGTACTATGTAACTTCCTACTTTCTAAAGGGAGCCCAATTCAGTCAGTTTTGTGTACCAAATGATGTCTATTTTTTTGATAAGTGCTAACCTCCTAATATAGGACCTAAAATACAGGAGGTGCTAGCCCTGGCCAGTGTGGCTCAGTTGATTGGAATGTCGTCTGTGCACCAAAAGGTTGCCGGTTCAATTCCCAGTCAGGGCACATGCCCTGGTTGCAGGTTTGATCCCAGGTATGGGGTGTGCGGCTGGCGGCCGGTCAGTGTGAGGACATTGGTGTTTTTCTTTCTCTCTCTCTCTCCCTTCCTCTTTCTAAAAATTAATTTAAAGATCTTAAAATATTTTAAAAACAGCCAAAATCGGTTTGGCTCAGTGGATAGAGTGTCAGCCTGAATATTAAAAGGTCCCGGGTTCGATTGTGGTCAAGGGCATGTACCTTGGTTGCGGGCACATCCCCAGTGTGGGGTGTGCAAGAGGCAGCTGGTCAATGTTTCTCTCTCATCGACGTTTATAACTCTCTATCCCTCTCAACTCCTTTCTGTGTAAAATCAATAAAAATATATATATATTTAAAAAATATTTTAAAAACAAAACAGGAGATGCTTCATAATTTAATCTCATCCATGCTCAACTCCCCTTTGACAAGTCCAACAGAAACCTGGCGCGGGGGGCGGGGGGGGGGGGGTCGCTGGCTCATCCCTCCTTGCCGCTGCAGCAGCTGGCACAGGCTAAAGCCTTTCCTGTCCACATTACGGAGACGTCACCTTTAGGAAAAGACTGGATGTCATTTGTTTGGCTGTCACTAGCCAGGTAACCTTTTTGCACCCAAAGACAATTATTGCAAATATGAGCTACAGGAGGGAATCTGGGTTCCCAGCTTGATCTTGCCTTGAAAAACCTCTGTGAAGTTAGGCATTTAGCCTCTGGTAATTCATTTCTTCATTTAGAAAATGCAATAATATCCACTCTCTACAGCTCAAGGTCACTTTAAAGATACAGTATGGATGACTGATATGAATGTGCTTTGAAACATTGAAGTGAAATTATTTTATTTTATGGGTAAAAAAAACTATTCGGTTATTTTTGAGCTCTCTGTTGCCACAGGGCAATGCAGGGAAATTAAAAAAAAATTTTTTTATGAGCTTATAAAGTGGCAGACTGATTTTAATAACTTGAATTTTATACAGTACAATCCAAAGAGTACAGTATCTTTCAGAGACAAATACAGACTCCATCGCTGAAATAAGTCAGGTTCTTCCTCTTTAAAATAAGTGTAATGAGCCTGGCCGGTGTGGGTCAGTGGTTGAACGTTGACCTATGAACCAGGTCACTATTCACTTCCTGGCCAGAGCACATGCCTGGGTTGCGGGCTCAATCCCCAGTGGGGACATGCAGTAGGTAGCTGATCAATGATTCTCTCTCATCACTGATGTTTCTGTTTCTCTCTCCCTCTCCCAAATCAAAATTATATGTATAAAGAATATATATGAATGTGTGTGTGTGTGTACATATATGCACACACATTTGCATGTTTGTTTTGCTAGACAGCATTTGGCACTGGATGAGACGCTTTCCTTCCCTTGGTCTCTAGTTTTAATTAACCTCCTGGTACAGAACGGTCAATTTCCAGAACAGACTTACTAGTGACTCTTTTTCCAAACACCGGCTAATCCCTGGATTACGTACCTGTGATGTTAGACAAAGCCAAAGAATCCATAGAGTCCCGAACGCTCTGCTCCGGTTTCAAGTCCGACAGGCACTCCAGGGAATCTTCGTACCACTGCGCCTGCTCGTGGCTGTAGCCCGAGGCCCCGTGGTCCAGGTCCAGCTCCTGGAGCCGCCGGCTGCTCGCCGGGCCCGGGTGGCTGCCGTACGCCGAATCTCCCAGGCCATCTTGTGACTGCGCCCAGTACATATCAGATTGGTATTTTTTACTCGCCAGGCTCTGGTTATTTTGCTTTAACTCGGTCTTATTTTTAACCATGTTATCAGATATCCAGTGCTCGCCGGCTCGGATGTCCATCTCGCCGGGCTGCTGCTGAAAGAGGCTTTTATCACCAAACTTGAGGAGGAGCTGCGTCATATAATCTTCATGCTCGGCCCACTCTTCGGGGTCTTCTGGGGTGTCGCGCTCGACTCTGCCTTTCCAGAAGTCTTCGTTGGCGAAGCCTGCTCCTTGCCTGGAGAGGCTCAGGTCATCCAGCTTCCGAGAGAGGGTGTCGTCGGCGCTGCCCGAGAGGCCGGGAAACTTGTAGTTGAGAGCCGGGGACAGGAGCAGGGACTGTCGGCATTGGTCAGCCGACCGGCTGCTCTTGCCCATCCGGACGCTTCTCCTGGAGTCTCTGGACCGCGCTGACTGGAACGCGGAGTCGGAGGAGTCGGAGGCGTGGATGTCCTCGCCGAGGCTGCACGTCTTTGAGCAATAGATCTGACCCTGCTTGGGGAGGAAGGGGCACCCCAGCAGGGAGGCTTTGCACTGGGCGCAGGAGAAGCAGGCTTCGGTCGCGTGCCAGTGCTGCCCGTCGTAGGTCATCTGGGCGTGGTCCACACCTGTTTTGGAAAAGGACAGGACAACAGGCTACAGTTCAACCTTGAAACAGAGGCAGGAGGAAGGGATGGGAAGAGGGGTGATGGAAAGGTTCTTGATAGGGCTGTGGGTCACACCAAGTCCGTATCTGCGGATATGCTCGCCTACTGCTAAAATCTGTTTGCAACCCCCAAATCAATGCTTGCAGTTTTCAAGGTCATTTGCGGCCATGTGCAGAGGGGGGGAAAATTTGAGTTGACCACCATATATGCTCCCAGGTGAGGACAAACAAGGTGACCCCCTGCCTTTTGTTTCTGCTCTTGTGCTTTCAACAAGTGACATATTCGTGGTCTACTTATATCATGTTTCCTTTAGACTTCTGTACTTTTTTTGGTGCTTTTGCTACTTAAGTGGCCCTCACGCATAGTGCTAAGATGCTGTCCAGTGATCCTAAGTACAAGAAGGCTGTGATCTTCCTTACGGAAAAAAAAAATACGTGCGTTCGATAAGCTTCATTCAGTCACATGGTACAGCACTGCTGGCTGCAACTTCCATGTCAACGAGCCAGCAATAGATGTGACCGGGGGCAGGTAGGAACCTTTCCCTGTATTTCCCCTAGGAGCAATGCTCGGGATCCCATCACTCAGGCGACGCTGTAGAATGCAAATCCCTCAAATGAGAATCGGTTCTATAGTCACTGGCCAAAACTCATAAAACTGAGACACTTAAGATCTGTCCATTTCCTGTATGTAAATTACACCTCAATTTAAAAAAAAAAATAGACTATGGACAATCATAAAGGCTGATGGGAGCGAGACCGAGCAGCCAGGCGGGGCTGGGACTCACCGATGTGCTCGCCGCAGGTTTCACAGTACTCCGCGTACAGGGACTCGAAGCAGCCGCAGCAGAACGGGCGGCCGTCCTTCATGATGTACCGCTGCCCGCCCAGCACCGTCTCACACTCCAGGCAGCAGAAGTGCTTCATGTGCCAGTGGCGACCCTCCGCTTCCGTGCACTCGTCAGCAAAAATGATCTTTAAGAGGAATAGGGAAGCAGAGGGTGACAGAAAATCACTGTGAGCTCTTCCCAAGGCCAAGTCGCTTAGAGGGCTAGCCTTGTATCTCACAGCCTCAAGCTTCACTCTGACTTGCTTTAGCTCTAAAACAAGAGCAGTTATTGAAAACATGAAAAAAGAGCAACTAAGTGCTTGTTTAAACTTTATAAATGTCCAACCCCTGTGCTGTACACCTGAAACCAATATAATGGTGAATGTCAACCATAATTGAAAAATAGATTTCTTCACTGGAGATAATTAATTTGGTCATTATTTTGCTCCCCAGTTGCATTTTATTGGCATAATCTGGCAAAGAAGACATTAGCATTGAAATAATTCAGCGGTCTGTGTTTTAATAGAAAACTCGTAAAAATGTCTGTGGAGTCAACATTCACAGCAATCCAGATGCTGGGCCGTGTCAGCCACACTTGTTCAGCTGCTGCTTCGCTCGACCTGGTGGCTATCGGCAGACTGAAGACTCCGTTCTTTGCATTTTTGGTTTCAAAAACATTTTCAAATATCACATTATTAAAAAAAAAACAAAAACTTAAAAAAACACACAAATGTATAAAGGAAAAAATGAACATTCACTGTCACTGAGCGAAGGAAACTCAGGAAAAATAAAAAAATTATATATATACATATTTATGTACGTATATATAATATATATATTTTTGTACATATATATGTGTGTATATATATGTATTTATAGTACACATAATGAGGTACCCTGGATTGGATCTTAGAATAGAAAAGACACATTAGTAGCAAAACTAGAAATCTAAAGTGTACAGTTTAGTTAACGGTATAACAGCAACATTAACTTCTCAGTTTCAATGCACATAACTCTGGAAGACACCAACAGGGGGAAAGCTGGGAGAAGGGTGTAAGGACCTCTAACACCTCCAACCCCTCTGTCAATCTAAAATGACTTTAAAAAGCTTAAGAAAAAAATCCCTTTCACACCACCATCCCTTCCCACATGCCCCACAGGGAGCCACTGTTAACGGAGTGCGTGTCCTGCCGTACTGTGTCTGGGTGTGTACAAACGCGTACAGTGTCGGCGTGTTCCCCCTTCCCCTAACAGGCATAAGGTCCTCTGCTCTGCTCTCCCCATCCATCAGGAGCCTCCCACCTGTGGACGCACAGACGCCCGGGGCCTGCTCTTTGTTTTGCTCAGGGGTGGGGTGAGCAGTGGAACAGGGGCTGGCTGGGCGCTTATTTTCCCCCGGCGTGAAGGGATGAACCGTTTTACCTCGTCACATGCCGAGCACCGTGGTTTGAGCAGTTCGGCGTGGTGCCGGCCGCAGTGAATTTTTCCGTCCTGATAAAAATAGATGAGGTCCACCAGCAGCTCGTTGCACGTGAAGCAGACAAAACAGGACGGGTGCCAGCACACGCCGGGGCCCGCCCGCGAGGCGAACACGGCGATCTCGCCGCCGTTGATCTTCAGCCCGCACTGAAAACACAAAGGACCGTCCTTCTGGGTGACGGGATTCTCGGCCTCTCCACGTGCCACTGAGTCCCCGATCTGCCAGGAAAGCTTCTTATTTACTTATTTACTTATTTTTTAATATATTTTATTGATTTTTTACAGAGAGGAAGGGAGAGAGATAGAGAGCTAGAAACGATGAGAGAGAAACATCGACCTGCTGCCTCTCGCACACCCCCCCACCGGGGACGTGCCCGTAACCAATGTACATGTCCCTTGACCGGAACTGAACCCGGGACCCTTCAGTCCTCAGACTGATGCTCTACCACTGAGCCAAACCGGTTTCAGCTGCCAGGAAAGCTTTTTATTTTTCTCCCCTCCTACGAGTGATGAAGCAGCTTCTTAAGGCTGAATGAGGTGCGATTCTCAGCGGAAAGGAGCAGGCCTCGACAGACTTCCCCCAGACTAAGGTGACCAGACGTCCCGCTTTTGGCGGGACACTTCTGATTTTTAACAATTTCTCCCGTGTCCAGCGGCATTTTTAAAAAAGTCCCGATTTCCCCCCCAAAATCGGGACTTTTTTAAAAACGCCGCGGGACAAATTGTTAAAAATCAGGGCTGTCCTGCCAACCCTTACCCGAAACCGTTCCTAAGAAGGGTTCACGAAGGGCGGTTTCCCTGAGCCAGCCTCCTGCTGGATGCGTTTTGGGCGCTGAGAATGGCCGGTGAGGATCTGAACGTCCTCACTATCTCTGCCTTTTGTGAACCCTCGGTGTACGTACCCCAGCACCTCCCAACCTGCCGGGAGCCTGGGGGGAGCAGGAGGTCACCGGTGTTTGCCCAAGGGCTGGCTGCCTTTCCTGGCACACACAGCAGTGTAGCCCTTTATAAACATGAATCTCCATTTGGTGAAGAGCTGGGCTGCCTTTCTTTGGCTTAGTTTCTGGAGGCCTCTGGGGCCCACACGGGTACTGGCCCTGCCGGCCTCCCACCCAGCTCACTCCATCCACATCACCACCACTTTGGGCCACTCGTTCTGGAGAGGGCTACCTGCTCGCACACGGCGTGCATCACGGCTCTGGACAGCAGTTTGATGGTGCCTCTTCCCAGCGCCTCCTTCTTCCGCTGGGCGCTGAACACCTGCAGCTCCTTCTTCTCCTCCTCGCTCAGAGACTGGCAGTACCGCACCTTCGCAGGGGGAACACAGAAGCACCGCCCTGAGCACGACCCCCTCACCAGCTCCATCTCCAAAAACGCACTCAGAGGGCCTGCCCCGTGCCGCCCCGGTTTAGCAATGACACCAGCCCTCTCATTGACTCAAAACCTTACCGCCTCTAGCAAGAGGGAAAAGCAATTTAAAAGAACACTCTTTTTTTTTAAAAAAAAAAATTATGAAATGTTTAATTTCAACTCCTGTCAGCGGAGACTCTAAAACAAATGTAACGTATTAACCTTTGTACAAAAGGTTTCAATTTAATTGCCACATTTGCTCTACATTCTGCAGGCACGCAGGTCAGCTCGGGGCCCAACTACACGGTGAGGCGCTGGGCCTGGAGGAAGGGGTGGGGTGGCACAGGCACCTGCAGCCCCTGGTCCCCCGTGGGGGGTGGCCACAAACACTGTAAACACCAACCTGTGTTTACTGCTCTGACACCCTTTTCTCTCCCAAAGAATGGAAAGCCATATTCTCCAGCCACACTTCAACTGAAGAAAGGCAAGAGCTGGGAGGAGCCGGGGTTTATGAGGGGCATCACCATGCTTGGTGTTTATTTTCTTAGCCTTCTTCCTGTTGTCTTACCTCATTGTCATGCGGTGGCAACTGGTACAAAAGCTGTTTAATTCGATGCTTCTCCCCAGGGCTGTTAACATACGGAACCTTTTCCTCGGGTAAGCAAGCGAAATAGAGCTGGATCTGAGGGAGAGAGGGAGAGAGAGACATGGAGAAAGTGAGCATCTTTGCTTGCTCCATCTTAAAAAGTTGTTTGTTGCCGAAACCGGTTTGGCTCAGTGGTAGAGCGTCGGGTCTGCGGACTGAAAGGTCCCAGGTTCGATTTGGGTCAAGGGCGTGTGCATTGGTTGCGGGCACATCCCCGGTGGGGGGTGTGCAGGAGGCAGCTGGTCGATGTTTCTCTCTCATCGACGTTTCTAGCTCTCTATCCCTCTCCCTTTCTCTCTGTAAAATAAAATATTATTAAAAAAAAAAAGTTGCTTGTCTGGCAGGGCCAGGGCTTGGCCTCTGGTGCTAATGAGAAGGCCAGCTGAGCCAACTCGCAGCCAGCTGCTAACTCCTCCTTCAGGAATGCGATTTGCAGTGACAATTAGGGCTGTCATAAATTACATGCCATAAAATATGCACCTTCAATGCCTCCATTCCCCAGCCGGGTCTCCCCAGGGTCAGTCCTGGGAGTCCTGGGTGAATGCTACAAATGGCCACACAGGCTGCGCGATACTGCCCCAAACCCCGCCAGCACGCAAACACGCTGAATGTGATCTCTGAGTTTTACGTGCTACAAAGACAAAAAGCTGTCTTGTTACCCTCTGTAAACTCCCTTATCAGGTTCTCGCCAAGCGTCGGCTTTCTTTGCTTCCATGGGTGTTATTTTCTAAATACCGGAGTCCGTTTCCCCAAAGACACTGGAGGGGAGCCATGCTGAGCTAGACTGGGTTCATTTGGAAAGGCGAACTCACTGTTTTTCCTGTTATATTTAAAGGAGCATCCCCTCATGCGTACCACAGTGCTGAGAAGGAAGAAGAGGGATTCAAGAAAGAAAGACAATTGGGGAGTTGGGAGCCTGCTGCTTCAATGCCTTAGTACCTCGCAAAACCTACCCACCCTCAGCTTCTAAGAGGGGGTCTTAAAAAAAAAAATATATATATATATATATATATATATATATATATATATATATATATATATATATTTCTTTATTGATTTCAGAGAGGAAGGGAGAGGGAGAGAGAGAGAAACATCCATGATGAGAGAGAATCATTAATCAGCTGCCTCTGCAAGTCCCTTCAGTCCTCAGGAAGACACTCTATCCACTCAGCCAAATCCGCTAGGGCAGGGGTTCTTTATTAATAAGCAGTTTATCAAAATATCGCTTTCCTATCTAGTGCACCGGCACTCCACCCTCTCCCCGCTACCGTATTTTCTGGCGTATAAGACGACCCCCTAATTTTACAGTTAAAAAAGAGTGCCGGCCTATATTCGCTGTATAAGACTACCCCCCACTTCAAAGAAAAGACTTACTTTGCCGTCAAGATCTGCAGGCAATTTTTGCCCCCGATTTTCGGTTGACTTTTTTTCATTTCAAAAGTTGTCTTATATGCCAGAAAATACCGTCTATCAGCGCCAGCAGCGTTTGCAGTTATAAAAACACTGAGCGCACCTGTGTGCCAAGCATGATGCGAGGCTCATGAAGAATGAGAAGCTCCTATTCTCAGGCGAGTTCCCACCATACAGGAAGCAACCGTAACTCAAGCAACTGCACACCTTTTATTTCAAACTATACCTCGGCCCTTATGATAATATTTATCACCTGCAATTTTTAACAAGTTCATTATAAGGGCACTGGGAACATAAAAAGAGGCATCCAGAATGTTCTCATCTTCCTTAAAATAACAACCCAAACAAAGCCACAAATTAGCTCTTCAATATTAGTGTTCCATCCCCACTGAGCGGTGACAGATTCTTTTATGTGCAAGGTTATCAAAGGTCAATGCAATGCCACTTCAGATGGTTTCTCCCAGCTCTGCATTTCCTCTCTTCCAGACCAAAAGCTCTCCTGAGAGCTGGCGTGGAAACCTGCCTCTTTTTATTACCTTTTTGTTGCTACTAGAGTTTTTTCAAAGGTTAAATTCCTCTCATTCTCTGCAAAGGGACTCATTAGAAGCACACATGACAAATGCATGAGCAGTGCTCCGGATTCCGGTCATCAGAGCATCCTCCTAGGGCTTGTGGACCCAAGAGCCCAAGAGGAATAGGAGACTCTCATTGAGAAATGAAAGCATGACCTTGAAAAGCAAAACTGTAACACCAAAGAGGAGAGAGGACCGAGGAGGGTAGCGTGTCTGTGTGGCAGTGATGTTCTAGAAATCGTTAAACATTCTTTAAAAGTCTTAACTCGTTGAAAAGCACAACGCGGGACGACCGGTCCCCACCTGCTCCGGCCGCAGCCCAGGGGGCACCCAGGCGTACTCCTCCAGCGCACAGCCCGAGTCATCATCCGACGTGGAGCTCCGCTGGCACCCGAAGGCGAGCTTGCTCATCTTGGGCTCCATCTCCAAAGGCATAGCAACGTCCGGAGGCTGGTGTTCTCAGTCCCAGGACATCAAACAGTGGCTGCTGTGGACAACAGGAGAAAGGGCAAACTGAAAACCTGCAGGCGTGGCTCTTAGGGGATGCCCGTTTACACACATAGCTGGGCCCTCCGAAAACACCCCATTTACTGGTTCACCAACCCCAGCCCCCAGGCCCACGGACACTTAAAATCAGGCTCCATAATGCAGACAGAGCCCCCTTTCCGGCTCAGCATTTCAGAAGATGCCACCAAAATTAGTTTGGTCCCCGTGGCCCTTGGAAGGTGCTTCTCCACACAACTGTTCATTGGAAAGGCTCAAGAACATCGCCTTGCCTGACACATCAGATTACACTTCCCACCAATGAGATCCCTGCGAAGTGAGTGCCATGAGTTGAAAAAAGAAGTGTGGGGACTGTGCCTCTTCCCACCTTGCCCACACTGTGCCGTGAAAAATGGCCCCAGACCCACTCCGCTCCCCACACGTCCTCACTGGCTCTCCCCACCCAGGCACTGCTGCCTGCAGCGTGGGTCCGCGGGGCCGAACGGCGTCGCTTTCAGGGGTCTCATAAAGTTCTGGGAGACACTGCACTTAGTTTACTCACCGGGTAGAAATAGCACCGTTAAACCCTTACATAGCATGTTAACTCTGCAAGCCCTTACTATCTATGGGTTGAAGTTAGCCAGACAATCCTTCATGAGTTCCTTCGACAAAAACTAACTGAATCCAAGCACGAGGTTAAAATAAAACCCAGCATGCTGGCTGTTAGTGTTGAGCTGCCTTATTAGCAGGCATCCACTGAAACGTTACGTAGCACCTACTATGTGCGACATGCCGTCAGCCTGTCATTGGGCAAAGGAAGTCCCCTCAGAGGAAGGGCTGTAAAGGTGTCTCCCTAACAGTCCCTGCCCTACAACCCAGGGAACTCGATCATCACCAGGTATATTCCTTATACGTTTCCTCTGATTTTTAAAAATCATTCCTCAAGGAACTTTGTCATCACCATTATGTTCCTTATAAGTTTTCTTTTTGTGATTTATAAAAACCATCCCTCATCCAAAGGCCCCAAGAAGAAACAAAGATATAAGATTTTCAGAATCAGATGAAGCTTTTTATAACTCCCCCTTTCTTTCTACCAAAAAAATTGTAGATAATTAGCCCAATTTAGAGAAAACAAGGCTCCAGGAAGTTAAGTGACTTGCCCAAGGTCACACAGCTAAAATAAGAGCCACGGTCTAGAGTCTAGACTATGGGCCTGCCACATCAGACTTCTAAAAATCATTCTGCCTTAAAAAAAAAAAAAAAAAAAAAATTCCCTTGTTTGCTTAAAGGGGTAGGAAAAACCTCAACACTTCCAGACTAAAACTAAGTCATTTATCAGTGATTATCTCAACGCCACTCTACATACGTATCCTTACTAAAACCTGTGGTTACGAAAACGTATGGTTTTTCTTCCATACATTGAAGGACATAAATGGAAGGCCAAACACCCAACGGCTGTGTTCCATCCCAACAGCTGGAGCGCAGCCACACAGTAGATATTATTCCAACTAATAAATTTAACTCTCCCTCACCCTGAACAAAAAGTAAAGATGACCTCACTTCCTTCACCACCGCTGGGAGGTTATGGCCTCTTAAACAAGTCACCATTTCACCCAGGTGCAACTCATTCACGTCTTGACTTAGGAAGGCTTTCTAACACGGGGCGTTGCACTTACTCCTCAATAAAAAGGACTGTGTTAATGACAGAACATTTCTTGGATTTAGTTCTTTGCTTTCATTTACACACACACACACACACACACACACCCCACACTAATAAACAAAAGCTCCCATATGTCCAAAACTTGAGGTTAAGAATTGAATTAGTAACTCAAACACCTCCCCAGGAGAAGGGGTGCTTGCAATGCAATGTCACCTGAATCATGAACTATCCCTATTTGTCCCTTGACACATCTGGCCAAGGAGGGAGACACGAAGGTACCTTCTCTGCACAAACTTACAAAGAACATAAATATTACATAGAACCTAAAAAATTAAGTGTCACGATCTTATAAGGCAAGACAAAACACCACAGGTGAAGATAAACCATGGGTTTTCTAAGGTAACACAAAGGTGCGGATTGCCAAGGATCCGAGTTCCTTTGAAGGCTGTATTCCTTGATTAGCCCTTTGTGGAAAAGGTACAGTGAGTGACTATCCTAATCAAAGGACATCAACTTCGGCACCAACGGCCACAACCCCCCCCCCCCCCCCCGCACCCCGCTCCCAATCATCGGGATGCGCAGTCACATCTCAGGCCTCCGGCTCGCACACACCCTCCAGCCTTTGCACAACCCACACTGAGCACTTCGTTCCTCCACTGCGTGGAGGGACCGACGGAAGGGACCCGAGTGACAGTCACTGTATCACAGGCACGGCTTTGGGTTTCACCTGTTGGCGCTCCGACAGCTAACATAGTTCTCTGGGCCTCGCCCATTAGTGTTATGGCACTTAATCGCCATATCAAGCAACCCAATCAGGGTGTATCTTGTTAACTGAGGAGGAGGCGGCCTCAGAGTGATTTGCCACAGGTCAACCGTCCCAGGTCAGTAAGGCAATTGGCAGCACCCTTAGAACCAGGCCTGTGGTCTCAGAGCCCTCAGCCCCTCTCTGCCATCCCAAGGTGGGACTGTGGCCCCAGCTCCCTTTCCTTTGGTGAGCCAGCCGTGAGACCTCACTGCAGGCACGCAAAAGGACATAACTGGATGGGAGACCGTCCACTTTGCCCGGAGAAGGACTTCGAGAAGATAGTTGAAAGGATTATAAAAATTCAATAGCCTCATGAATTGTTGCTTCCAAGTTGATTCTTTGGAGAAAGCCTCTTTCTTTTTCCTTTGTGTCAGCAGATAATTACACAAAATAACAAGTCATTACATTTATTAGAAAGTTCTCAGAGCTGATCAAAAAATAAACATTAGGGAAATAAAAGGCCCAGCTGGCGTGACTGAGTGGTTGAGCATCGCCCTATGAACCAGGAAGTCACAGTTCAATTCCCAGTCAGAGCACATGCCTACGCTGCAGGAGCGTGTAAGAGGCAGCCGATCAATGATTCTCTCTCGTCATTGATTTTCCTCTTTCTTCTCTCTTCCTCTCTGAAATCAATAAAAATATTTTTTAAAATATATTTTATTGATTTTTTACAGAGAGGAAGAGAGAGGGATAGAGAGTTAGAAACATCAATGAAAGAGAATCATCAATCAGCTGCCTCTTGCACACTCCCCACTGGAGATGTGCCCGCAACCAAGGTACATGCCCTTGACCGGAATCAAATCTGGGACCTTTCATTCCGCAGACCGTCCGTCGCTCAATCCATTGAGCTAAACCGGTTTCAGCAATAAAAATATTTTTTAAAAATAAAAAAATGGAAGTTATATAGCATGACTTCTAACTACCAGGTTGTGATAAGAGTTGCCCAGACTCAACAACTGCTGACATTTTGCTCCATTTGCTTTATCTTCCTCTTCCTGCTCCTCTTTCTCACACATACAACACACCATTTCAAAGTGTGTATTTTTCATATTCTCTTACCAAACCATAGTTCAATTAAACATAGCTGTTTAGAAAATGTCCCTTTAAAAAAACAATGTGCAAGGCATCATGTTTGATGCTGGAGATCAATAGAATAAAAAGCTCAAGTAGTTCAAATCATCAGTATTCTGTGATTATGGGGAGGCAGGTTTATTATCCTGGTCTTGAAATGCTGTACTAAGCTGACTGAACTCAATCATACATGAATGACAACGATGCAGTCAGCCATTCTGTACTAGGTCTGACCCTGTTAAGGGAAAGAATCAGTAGAGGCCCCACTTCACCACCACCTCTTTATAACTCTGGGTGTAAATAAGTCTTGTGGTGCAGAGAGAAGTAAACGTTTTCAGGGTTGGATTTGTTCATGTCCCAGAGTCTGACCACTAAGGAAATGTGAGAGGAAGCAACACCTTTAAGAATGAACACAAAGATGGCACTGACGTCAGGCACAAGGAACAGGAAATTGAATTAAATTCGAGCAGGTTATGATATTTGCAGATTCTATTTTGAAGAGAAGACTAAAAGCCAACTACAGGAGTCAAGGAGAGAAATGGCGACAAACAGAAGAGCAAGACATAGACACAGGGTGGGGAGGGAGAAGTCCGAGGTTGTGTAGAGAGAGATAAGAAAGACAAGGGTTATTTGGTTGCTATGTTATCTTCATGCCAAACAACACAAAATGGAACCATACCCCTCCTTTGTCCTTTTTCTCCCTTCCCCCTTCGGAATCCTTCAGTAGCGACTTCTTTCCATTTAAAAAGACCCAAGACAAACAGCTCTCAGATGCGTGACTTCTCCGTCATCATAATTGTCAAGAGAACATGTGACCCAAGGGAAAAGCAATCCTCAGGGGAATGGAATCTGGTGCTCTCAGCATTCAGGGGACTCAGCCCTGAAGTCGTCATGCCTTTCACAAGCCACCACTCATCTTGGGGGCCTGGTTCTTAAAAATGACATCTATTTTCCAAGGATATGAAAGTTTTAAAGAAGAAAAAGTTGTATGAATATAAAGAATTAAAGTTACTATTGATGGGCACCAACTGGCATTGTTACTTTCCCTGTGACTACATAGATTTCCTTGATGCTAACCAGCGACATCTGGAATAAGAACATGTTAATAGAATTAAAAAGGACTGAATGTTGACATGTGAACATGTGAGTTTCATCAATTTTTTTTTTTTTTTTTAAGTTTGGGAAGGCTCTAGCTTCCTGTAGAGCAAACAATGTTACCCAACTATTGACCACCTTTCCCAGCTTCCTTGGACTCAGATCCTAACCCAACCCTACAGAAAATTTCTAACAGGATACACATATGTATACACACATGTACACAAGAGCATACATGTGTACACACAAGCGAGAGTGCACGCACACACACAGCATGTATTATGGTCTACAGAGCATGGCAGGGTCTTTCCAGTGGTG